TGGTAAAAGTATCTGTGACTTCTTTTTCTCATTCACTGTTGTTTCTCTAATGAGGATCCCTCTCTTAATCTGAGTTTGTCAAAATTCTTGTAAAGTAAAGCATGGTACTGGATGTTGTTGTATGGTAAGCTGTGTTTCGCTGGCTTGTACTGATCCCTGTACGTATGGTATCCAAAACCTTAGCACTGGGTCATTGTACTGATGACGACGAACATCAATCTCTGTCTGATCACTCAAGTCTGGTAGTTGGTTGTCAACTGAAGATGGAGATATGGACAAGCATTGTATATATAGGGATGATTGGATACAGCTGAGTTGCATATGGTCTTAATGGAATCAGATGTTATGATTTCCTGATTTGGTATCCTGCTTAGTCCATCTGCATCTGCGTTGTGTGATCCGGGTCGATACAGAATCTCAAAGTTAAAGTTGGCGAGATCTGCAATCCATCTTTGGCTCGTCGCATCAAGTTTCGCAGATGTTAAAACATACGTGAGTGGGTTGTTATCTGTGTAAACCTGGAATGTTCCTCCATATAAGTAATCTCTGAATTTCTCACAGACAGACCACTTCAAAGCCACAAACTCCAATTTATGAACAGGGTAATTCTTTTCGGATTTCGATAAACTCCTGCTAGCGTAAGCTATGACCCGTTTGAAGTTGTCCTGCGTCTGATATAATACAGCACCAATGCTTGATGATGAGGCATCTGTATAAGTTCAAAGGGTAAGAAGTAATTGGCGAATCCTAGAATTGGATATGTTGTGAGTTTCTCCTTAAGTTTGTTGAAAGCTTGGTCTTGCTCACTACCCCATCTCCACTTGTTTGGTTCTTTTAATGTCCTGACACCCTTTCTAGATTTCTTCTTTGTATTTGGTAGGAGGTCATTCAATGGGCGTGCTATTGTTGAAAATCCCTCAATGAATCTCCGGTAATACCCAACAAAACCCAGGAACTGGCGAACTTCATCTGAGTTTCTTGGCTGCGGCCAGTTCTGTACTTTGCTGATCTTTTCCGGGTCTGGTTCTATTCCCTCCTCACTGACAATGTTTCCTACGTATTTCACTTTGCTCTTAAAGAATTCACGCTTCTTCGGTGATAGTTTCAGATTTACTTCTCTTAGTCGTTGAAAAATCTTTTCCAAACGATCTAAATGTTCTTCGTATGTCTTGGAGAATATTATCAAGTCATCCAAGTAGATGAAGCATATATCCAGGTGTAACCCTTCGAAACATTCCTCCATAAGCCTTTGGTATGTAGCAGGTGCGTTGACTAGACCAAATGGCATGCAATGGTATTCATAAAAGCCTAAAGGTCCAACTGTAAACGCAGTTCTTTCCTTGTGATTTTCATGTAACTCAACCTGATGGTACCCATTTTCATATCCAAGATGGTAAAGAATCTATTTCCTGCTAAGGCATCCAGTATTTCCTCTATCCTTGGTAGCGCATAGGAGTCTTTCTTTGTCCTAAGGTTTAGATGGCGATAATCTACACACATGCGTAGTTCGTTGTTTTTTCTTTCGACAAAGGACAACGTTGCTTGACCATGGTGACTTCGACTTCCTGATAATTCCTCCTTCTAATAGTTTCCTTAAGTGATCTTTAACCTCTTCAAACATGGCCGGTGGTATTCGCCTCGGTCTTTGCTTAAAAGGTGTTTCGTCATGTAAATCGATCCTATGTTTCACAATGTTAGTGTGTCCTATGTCAATGTCTGACTTTGAGAATACATCCTCATATTTCCTCAACAATTGTTCTGCTCCTTGCTGCTCTGATGCTGTAAGTTTATCTCGCTCGATCTTCACCAAACTTAAGATATCTTCGGTTTCTTGGAGGCTAGAACATGGTAAAGCTGTTTGATTTGGTTCGATTTTCACAGGTTGTAGCTCGCATATAATGGATTTAGGTGGAACTTGTACTGTCCTTGTAGTGATGTTGTCAATGTCCACTCTTACTACATGACTGGCTGGATAGTTATAGTCTGTAAGTGATGGTACAATATCCAGGTCTGATGGAATTACAGAGCGAGGTGTAGCTTGTAGGACTGCTGTTGTAGATTGGTATGGAAAAGCCTTGTCGATATATCCAGAAATGGAAACTGTTGAATTTGGTGGTATGATAATACAATGACTTTCAGCTGATTTTATAATCCCTAATCGATTGTTGTTCCGAGCCAGTTCTTTTTCTCGTAATGCCATTCCTCTAAATGCGAGATACCACGGTGTAAATAAAGCAGCATCTTGTAGATATTTATCTCCATATTTGTCCTTGACACCATCTAGCATGTGTTGTAATATATTCGTTCCAATCAGAAGTGGTACTCGACTGTTAAAGTTACTGGTTGGTACAACGAGCAATGGAAATTGCAGTGGTTCCTCTAATGATTGTGGTATTCCCTTACTTTTGATGGAAGCTTCGATATATCCGTAGTATGGTAACTGTTGACCATCTGCACATTCCACTTGTAAAAGTTCTTTTATTGGATGGAGTTCTAAGTGACTAAGTTGTTTCATATAAAGGTCATAACTAACTGTGGAAACAGTAAATCCAGTATCTATTAACGCTCTAACTAAAATTCCTTCCAAACTTGCTTCCACTTCCGATGTATTTCCTACTAATTCATTATTTCTACTGCTAGTAGGGCCTTTCCTGTACTGACCTAACGTTTGCCCCGCAACGAAGGTCTCCTCACGTTTGAATACCTCCTACTATGGTCCATTCGCACTTGACAATAACGGGCAATATGTCCCGGTTGTCTGCATTTGTAGCATATAATAGGTTCTTCATCCTCTATTTGAGCAGATTCCTGACTGTTGTACCCGTATTCATAATCATAGTTGTATGCCTGAGGATATCTAGGACCACTGTAGTTTTTGAAATTAGGGTGTCCTCTGTATAAGTTTCCAGCGCCATAATTTCCTCTTTTGGACTGTGGTGTTGGAAATCTGCCGTACGATTCTCCAAGATCTTTCCTGTTTGTACGCTGTTGTTCCATGGCACTGACTTTTGTAGTGAGTTGTTGGATCATTCCTTTAAGTTCCTTAATCTCATCTCCTTTCTCAGCTTCACTTGATGTTATAGCCATGTTAGATTGTGCCTTCTTTGTTTCATGTTCCTTTTCTACAAGTCTTATTTCTTTCCTGAGCTCATCAAAATTGGTCAATGCATCAAATTTGAATCCAGTGATATCCTTAATCCACTGATGCAGACCATTCCAGAATTTTGATCTTAACTTTTCATTTGCATCCTCCTTGGTTGCAACTCCTTTGATGACTGCCTTTCTATAAATCTCCTCTAGACGACAACTCCAACTCATGCTATCCTCTCCTTTTTCTTGTCGCGCACTGTAAAATTGTTCCATAATTGTCTCTCCTCGTTCTATAGTACCAAACACACTTTCCATCTTGTCCAGTATCTGGGTTACAGTGGCTCCAGGACCAAGTCTCATAGCAACCTTGCCTGCATCTCCTCGCAATGATCTCCGAATTGACTGAGCAATTATCTCCTCCTTACACTTCTCCTTGATCAAACAGTCAACTTCATATCGCCAAAGATCATATGTAGTGTCATTCTTGCTGCCGTCTCCAGAAAAGCAAGAGATCTTTGGGATGTGGGAACTAAAGGTGCTTCCTGATGCTGATGCTGATGACGTTCCAGTATCCGCGTGCGGTTCTGTCTTTACATTGACAAATTCCTCCTCATTCATTTATGCAACATACTGAGTCATCCATTGTTTGAAATCCTGTGCTGTATCAGCTTTTGGTTTTATGTTTAATTCTTTGAAGACTTTTGCAATTTGATCGAGTTCCTCCTGTGAAATGTCTGCGGACATGATGATTTGTTGTTGTTGTTTGATTTCCAAATAAACTTTTCTTAATAACTAAATACTAGCTAGGTACCTCATAACTAAATCTACCTTAATTATCTAAATAAATCTAAGATCACTACATCCTCTGAAGCAGAAGAATCCAATGTATAATCCAATCTGAAGAGTCCGAGATGAAGTAGAGTAATTACTAATTAATAAACTAATTAAACTTAAATTCTAAATAGCTACTTAATTAAATTTTAAATTCTATGTAACACTAAATTTCACTGAAATGCAAAGTATTATTCACCTGAAAAACAAGATTTCAAATTAAATTTCTAAATAAGCTGAAATAAAAAAAATTAATTAAATTACCAAATGAAATAAATAAAAGTTTAAAGAATATACTAACTAAATCCTAAATAAATATAATCTTAATCTAATACTAAATAACCTTCTAAATAACTAAATGGTTCTGAAGAATGAAAGATAACTCAAACTACAAACTTACTTAGGAAGATAACTCTCTTCTTCAGTAGAACAGGGTGCGCTCAAGCGTGACGAACTCTCGGCCAGGGGTCAAATACTCGATGTAAACAAAATTACGCGAAATCAAAGTAAACGGTACAATAATGCAAACTAATGACAAGGAATTCAATGTATAAACAATAAAAAACGGACACAGGTGAATCACCAACACACTGATTACTCAAAGTAATGTGACCTTACTATGTTTATATGTACTGAAATGTACAGTAATCTGGGTATTAAATAAACTAATTCACATGTTTACTATAGGGGTGATATAGGGGGTAATAAGCTACTAAATACTGTAGAACTAGACCAATGAATCTAAATCAAAACAATAGACTCACTCAGACACACTAGTCACCTCAAAATCACCTGTAAACAAACTACCTGTACCTTCAAGTCTGAATGTAGGTCACAAATGTCAAGGTCAGCTGATCAAGAGAAAAGAAATTAGTGTGGGGTGGAAACCAGGTATATCAGATTAATAGAATTAATTTCTTTCACACACTACAATAATTTGCTCAGAAATAAATAATATTTACACTTAATATATACAGGAAGGGTGTAAAAGGCTTTTCACTTTAACAAAATTATGCCTGTCACTTGTCAGTCCAAAATACACTTGTTTTGAGCACAATTGTTAAATAAAAATACCTTACCGTGCTGGCAAGCTTCTAAAGATCACAATAATGAAATAGTCACAAAGGTTCAAATGAATTGTCACTGGTCACACGTCGCTGAATGTCACTTTCACTGAAAGTCCAGCGTTGAGTTGATTGCGCAATACAAACTCTGTCTGTAAACACTACACAACACGTCGGTGGATCCTAGTACCTCCTCGGCGTGAGATCCTCTCTGTTAGTACCTCTCGCAATGGTCAGTCAGCCAATCCTATCCCACCGTGGATGCCATTGAAATGGGGTTCGTTTTATACGTAAATAATGACAAACGCCATGTTGTAGATATGGATAAGTGTATATTCAATGAGTATTATCACAGCTCTGAAAGATATAAACAATATATTAGATATTTTATAACAATACATACATGTAGATCACTTGCCAGATACCATGGTCAAAATAAGATTTGTTTCCCTTTAATTGTGCTCATTCATAAAACATTAAGAGTTGTCTTTCTTAATCAATAATATGTACAAAGTATAAACACTGGAATTTATAGATGAAACAATAAGATCAAATTATATCGAACTCTTCCATAATTATATAATTATATGGACAATATTCAAAATATATATACATCATACCTATATGTGATATAAAGCCATTCTCCAAATATACAATATGATGAGTGAAATCTTACTCAGTGATCTGCACATAAATAAAACACAACTTTACTGTATTGCTCTCAAAAATATACAATACACTGATATATGAAATCATTACTTTTCATTATTTACAAAGTCATAAAATAATCCAAATACTAATCTTCATAATTTATATTAGAATATTAATATTTAGGAATTAAATAGATAAACAATTATTTAGAGATAATGAAATTAGTAAAAGTCAACTTACATTCTGTCCAGTCTTTGGGCATGGTCGTAATTAAGTCAATATAGACAAACAAATACAAAATCACCAAAATGTCTGCTGGTAGCCAAGATCTCCAACAAAAGTAATTAAAGCTGACATGAACTCTTAAAAAGGCATCATTTTTCATCTTTGTACGACTTACTACATTCCTGTACGCCTTTTTCCGCCATATTTCTTCGATTCCGCCATTTATGATCGAACATTTTTTGGGCCCCCTGTACCTGCTATATATAGCCTTTTAGAACTGTTTCACTTAGTGATTTTTATCCTGGCAGTGACGTGCACATCTCCATAGCATAGTTTTAATAAGTCCATAAACTGACCAATACATGTTTGAAAAGTAAAAATTCAACAAAAACTAGAACTATACCGAGAAT